TTCAGTATTCCACGGATGACGGTGACGGTGACGGTGTGCGTGTGCGTGTGCGTGTGCGTGTGCGTGTGCGTGTGCGTGTGCGTGTGCGTGTGCGTGTGCGTGTGCGTGTGCGTGTGGGTGTGTGTGTGTGTGTGTGTGTGTGTGTGTGTGTGTGTGTCTGTGTGTATATATATATATATGGGGGAAGATAATGGCTATCTAGGATGTAGGGATGACATACTGCTGTATACGCCTTAGGGACATCGCCTCAACGATGGAGAATCAAATTGAAAAGAAAGTGGAAGATGAAACGGGGAAACTGTGATTATATAGTGTGTTTATAGGGTTTAGAGCTTAGGGGCGTGGGGGTTTTCACGGTCAGGGGAGTTTAGGATTTAGGGCTTTAGGGTGTTGATAGCTTCAGGGTTTTGGGGTTTAAGGGTTTAGGGTTTAGGGTTTTTAGCTGAGGGTTTAGGATTCAACGTTGGATCGAGAAGCTTAGGCCACAGATTTAGAACGTCCGGAATGGAGCTTATTCAGACCTTCACTGAATCCTATGAATGGTTTTGAATGATCGTAGAAATGAAAACTAATAGGAATGCTCACAAAACTTAACTAAACCGAAACCCTAAAAAAATACGTTCAGGGCTTGGGGCCTTGCATTCAGGACTTTTTGGGCACAGGGCTTCGGATTTAAAGAAACAACGATTACTCAGCTCCCAAGAGCTTGCGTTCGGATAAGGGCTTAGGGTTGAGGGCTTCACATCTTGGGAAACCCCAAATACCTCCATTTAACTCCAGTTGATTCTCCATTATCGACGTAATTGGAGTACTTTCACTAACCTTACCCGTACTTCATGCTGAGCTCAAGACCCGCACAACTGCAAGAGGTTGCAGATCGTGGGATAAAGCAAGTGACCTGGATCAGACTGCAACCATCCCTGCAGGTGGTGCTGATGATGACCATCATCAGCAGCTATATGACCGTGCGTGAGCGTAATCATGTAATGCTGCTACTGGCGGGTCAATCCTCACGGTTCAGACATGAAATCCTTCCAGCTGATAGCACATAGACCTCTTGAAGTCATTACACTGTCCTTAGTTAGCTTCCATGTCTCTTGGGCCACCAACAGTGCAGTGAGTTGCCATCGCAGTCGGTTTTGATGGTAATGCCAGTCTGCGTGTCCACCTGTGCTGCCAAGCACCTTCTACTGCAGAGATGCTTTGCGGCGTCTTAAGTCCAGCAAAATCCTGTCAACATGTTAGTCCTCAACTTGCATGGGGCTTTGAACTGTAGGCCCTCCCTGTGTCATGGATATTTCGCTGCGCCAGATGTTTAGCAACATCGAATCTTTTTGCAGCCACCCTCAACAGGTTGTACCCCAGTTTAGTCTGGGACATGCAACAAGCCACCCAGGGCCCATGGCTTCCGCTGCAAGAACTGGTTATATTGGGCTCACATAGGGTTATACTTTAGGAGGACCCCCCACGCTGTAATAGTGACTATAAGGGAAAATAAGGATTATATTAGGGTCTCTTATATTCCAATTATACCACTATTACAGGGTGGGGGGTCCTCCTAAGTTATACTGGGATAATGGAAAACAAAATGGAAACAGCTATTTAGGGTTTAGGGTAGGTCCCCAGAGAAGCCCCAACAACACCCCCTTTAAATTCACACTCAATTCCCAAGTTTCCTTCCTAGTCAGTGAACAATCCCCCTATCATCAGTATGAAGCATGTGTGAGGCTCTACAAATTCCTAAGCCCTTCTAAAGGCTAGGACTGTAGGTACCAAAAACTTGCCAATATCATGCTGAGGTCTACCTGAGGCACCCGATACCTTGGGTCATTCCCCCTTAGAGTAATTACCACAAGAAAAATATGAGCCATATTTACAAAAGCCCCCTACTAGAGCCCTGGAATGACCCAACCTATACCATAATTATACAGGCAACCTAGGACCGTTTTATTTGTATTTTTGCAGGCTTCTATAGGGTAGTTTCTCAAAAACAGGGGGCCCCAATATAGACCTCAAAAATACGATCACCCTTATTCCAGGAAACCCCCAGAGGCTGCCCTTAAATACCCTAAACCCTAAACCCAAACCCCAAAACCTAAACCCGAAACCGCAAGCAGTACCCGGCGCACTCTTGACACCAGGTCGTTCTCAGGCATGATGGTAAGAGATCTTCGTCGGAGCTCCTGGCAATTTAGGGATTATAGGGGTTCTACAGGAGTTCTTTTCTACCCCTCCTCCTTCTTCATCTCTTCCTCAACCCTAAACCCTAAACCCTAAGCCGCGGTAAAGGGTTTACGGCTCAGGGCCGCAAATAATGCTGTCACTCCGACTGCTAATGCGCTTCTAATTCATATGATCATCATCACGTGGGACTTTCCATGGACTGCAAAGATTGACCACAAGATACAGTAGTCCCTACCGTAGGGACTCCCAACAATCCCCCCTAATTTTTTGGAAGTCCAAAGCTCGAGATGCTCCTTTCTATGAATTCGCAACCTCCATAGTCTAATCCCTAAAAACACACCCTTACAAAACCTCATGTTTTTGAATCCCTATAATCCACTATGTAATCGCAGTTTGCATGTTGTTTTCCATTTTCTTGTTTGATTCTCCACTGTTTAGGTTTCACCCAAACATAAACCCTAACCCTTTAACCCCACACCCTAGACCCTAAACAGTTCAACCAACCCGAAACCCCCAAAAGCTAACCCTAAACCCCTAAGCCCTAAACTCGTAAACCCTAAACCCTCTACCCCTAAACCCTCTACCCCTAAACCCCTTAACCCTCATCACGTCCGTCCTGTAGCATGTGCTCCCTGTACACGACGTAGCTCGTTGTGCCAAGCCCCGGGGCCATGAAGGTCAAGGCCTGAGAGGCATGTAGGGATAATGGTTAAAAAAATGGAAACTACTAGAATATAATTGGGGTTATATAAGGGATAGATAGGGGTCAGTGGTTTTTGTTGTTCCTTCGTTTTGTCTTCTTTTCGCTGGTTAGGGTTAGTTATGGCTGAAGGTTTAGGGGTTTAGGGGCTTAGGGGCTTTAGG